AATCACCAATTCATATCATAATATTATATTAAAAGACATGTATATAAGAATAAATTGCAATACATACTTCTCATTTTATTGGTGACACTATCTTAATGGTTGGTAGCATCATACGTAATTTACAATTTAATCAAAGTTATAAGATATAGTTATATTAGTAATTACTCTCGTATGAATATATCCATCAATATTAAACTAAATCATGAACTCTTGCCTCATACGATAGGTATATAAATAGGTTCTATATGGAGTCAAACAAAAATTGTAGAAATATTCTATGTAAGTCGCATGATATTATCAAAATATTCATCTCACTATGCAATAAAGCCTCTTCATTCAAGCATGCAGAGCTTAAGTCCATAATAATTATGCTAAATTTAAGTAATGGATTTAAGATTGATTCTATTAATGTAGTAATGTACTAAAGTAGCAAGCACTCCATGAAGATATGACAATATTGACTTTTTATTCCAAATAATCTTTTAAATCTCTAATAAAAATGAAATGAAGATTATATATATACCAAATTTTTAGAAGCCAAAATCAAAGAAACAAATTGATAAAATATTAAAATGATACTTTTATAAGATAGAGAATGAGATTTACCTTTATGTTGACCATAGAATTGAAGAAATTCAGTCAATAAAATCAACCACAATGGACTGCAAACCTCTTCATGCGAAATAGGGTAAAAAAGGGCAAAGATGAGAATAAAATTTGAATGGATGAAGAAGGGCTCAAGTGGAAAATACTTGAAGGATTTTAGGCTGAATTTCCACCAAGAATCACTAAAAAGAATAATTGCATAGTAGCTTTATAATGTTTTGCCATAGTAACATCAATAATTTTTTCCATATCAACTTTATGATGTTAGTAATAGTTGCATGCAAGTGTAATTAAAGATCTATTTGGGATTGCTTCAACTTTTCATATTAAAATTGTGATAAAATAATTTTTTTTTTTAAGTTGTTATATAAAGCAGCTTCCTAATAATTTTCCTGCGGCTTAGTGCCCACCCTCAAAATTTTTTTTTAAAATATTTAGAGGGGATATTTTAAAATATTTTGGGTATTTTGGGCATTTTGCCCCCCCTCAAAAAAATTTTTTGTCTTTGTTTTGTCAATCCTAAGCATCTTTGTCCATCCCCCACAAAAAAAGTTTTTTTTGCCCAGCCTAAAAAAAGAAGCCAGATTCGCCCTGCTCACTCTCTCTATTTACATATATGTAATCATTAAATATTAAACTTTTTAATCTAAGGATAATCAAACAGAAAAAGCTGAAAAACCAAAAATATTTCAAAGATCAGTTTATTAATCCAAAATTAGATAGAACAATAACTAAAAGATTTGTTTAAAAAAAATATTTTATCTCAAACTACAATTTGTTTGCCTCAGAAAGAAAACCTATGGCTCCCATCTGAGTTGTATGATGATCAGCTCAGCCTATCCACCTTTAAGTTTCAACAGCATTCAATCTCCATAGGCTATCTATCTCCTCTCTACAACAACTTAAATCAAACAAAACAAAAACTGAGAAACAGTAGTAACAGTACTGCACCCTCCAGATCTCTTCTTATAAATCCCCTCCTCCCTTCCCTTTATCTCCACTGCGATCAGCTTCTAAGAGCAAGAGAAAGAGAGAGAAAGTAGAGATAGAGAGAGAAAGAGAGGGATGGCGATTGTCTATCGAACTGGTCTTCTTCTTGCTTTGATTCTGATAACTTTACCTGGTCTCCATGCAATTTGTTTTACTGAATGCTTCAGTAGTTGCCATCGCAACTTCTTGCATTGTGCAGCCCTCTGTACTGGGGAGTGCCTGAATACTCCAAATGATTCTTCAAGTAACGATTTTGCTGTTCATTTTGATTATTTACGTAGCTTTGCAGCAGCTTTTGTTCATTAATTCAATATAATTTTGCAGACGCTGTGAAGAACCAAGAGGCAACGGCCATTCCAGGCCAAGGAAGCAGCAAATTGCACTCAAGGAAACTGAATCAGCTCCAAGCTGACAACAGCTACTGAGCACTGAAGAAGAAAGCTGCTACAGTATTTATATATGGAGAATATTTGCTGCTTCAGATCAATAATATTAGTGATATATATATATATATATATTGATTTATGTATCTGAATTTCTTGAATAAACTATATGGAAGTGTATTTGTTTTCTTTCTGTATGGGAGCAGATTATGCTTCAGATCTTCTGAATTTTAATATGAAGCAGAAATTATAAGAAAGTGCCTTTTTTTTTCCTTTTTGTGATGCTATACTTCCTAAAAAAATCTAATTATTTGAACTTTATGTAGATATCTGCATACACTATAAAAAATAAGATTTTTCGCCGCAGATGTTAAGAGTTTTTTTAAAACCACTATCAAAATCCTTATTTTGAATCGATTTTAACCGCTAGAATTTGTACTGGTTTTAAACAATGCAATTTACCCTAGTTTTAACCGCTAGTAAAGCCCCGCCAATGCTTAAGAAAATTTTTATTGATACTTGTGTGACACTTGCGTAAATTCTAATTGATCGAAGTCGATAAATTTTAAGTCAAGCCAATGCATATTTGTTATGTTGGGCTCTTTGCATTGGCAGGGTGGTTCATAGGGGTGTAATTTGGTCAAGCTTATCCCTGAGTCGACTCGAGCTGCATTAAATTAATGGCTCATGAGTCAAATTTGATGAGTTAATAAGTCAAGTTTGAATAAGTCGTGATCTGATTCATCAGCTCGTTTGCCAGCTCATACAAAAATAGATCGAATCACCAAGACCTATATACAAATATGCCTAAAAGAAGAACATTTGTCTTTATCTTTATTAAAATTTTGACCGAATTAACTCTCAAACTCGTCTCACATCGCAGGCCTCTAGATGAAATAATTGGACTCCAAGAGCTAAGGGATGTTATCTATGTTAACCTATTGGTTGGAAACTTAGGCTGCCAATAAAAATTAAAAGTCGTAAATTTGAGGTTTTGTATGTGTTATGTGTGAAATTTATGATTAAATTATAGGCCATAGCTTTAAGGAGAGTAAGCAAATATAAATTTGTGCCCTTATATGATATGTATGCTTTTTATATTAATTAGATCAAGAAGAATAAATAAACCATCTATTTCATATTGAAATGTATTTAGTTTTTTTTTTTTTTTTTGCAGACTTTGGCATTGGGCTTTACTAAAGGGACTATCAATATTATTTATGACAATGATGTGCAAATTCAATATAGATGAGAACTTAGAGAAGAATTAGGATATTTATAAGATTAAAAAAAAGTTTCTATTTAATATTAAAAGTACTTTCTAAATATATAAATTATTGGAGCTTTTTTTATATTTTATTTATTTATTTTACCATAAAAATTAACTGAAATTAAAAAAAAAATTGAATACCGAATTGCTGAAACGATTGAAGACATTACAATTTAAAATTCTATGATGAGATCTATTGGGAGTAAAATCTAGCAACGAACGCAAACGAGGAAAAAAAAAAGAAAATAAATGAATATCAAGATTTAATTTGAAAAACTTTAAAATCGGGAAAAAAAATCACAGAGTTACAACATACCAATAAATAACTATAAAAATTGGGAGAAATTTTACAAATCTCTCTCTCTCATTCTCCACTTCACTCTTCTCTCTTCTCGGAACTAACAAAGATATACCATTCTACAATATGTAATACTTAAACATGAAAAACGAGAAAGAAAAATGCTCAGCCTAATTAGTAGTGTTGTGGCGCTGAGGTTTGGAGAGCTGCAACACTCCACACTCTATCTCCAACCCAACTCGTAGTGCTAGTTTTGGAGCGTCGCAACATTCTGCTATGTCTCCAAGTCAAGATTATAGCATTGTTGCACCGCTTATTACTACACAGCAGTGCACAATACGGCATTGCAATGCAACACTCTAATGTACAGTGTCATGGCGCTATAATATACGAGAAAAAAATATATCGGGGGAAGGCCCCTAAACCAAAAGCAGAGGCCGAGATGCCCCTTTATAACCCCCGACAAGCTCAACTAACAGAAATGTGGTAAATTCCAGAAAGAACTAACAAGATAAAAATTAAAATATACTTTTAAAGCAATCTTAGTGGTATAAAATCTAATGTGTGATTAACTTTGAAATACTAGTATGCTCTATCTCTCATAATATAAAGATGTTTATGTTAATTAATATGTATAACTACAAAAAATTCATTAAATACTGGTGGCATTTTCGACGACCAAAGGACAACCGAAATTTCCGGCATATATGCCGGTGGATTGACCACCGATAATAAGCGGCGGTTATACCGGTGGTTTGACCGCCGAACATTCTGCCAGTAGTTGATATGTTCAACAATGTTAACGGTGGTTTGATCGTTGATTTTATGTGACTTGTTTCCAGCAGCTAGATTTCCAGTGGTATACGCGTCAGTAATTTCCGGCAGCTAGATCCGCCGGTAAAGATTGCCGCTGGAAATAAATCGCCAGCTTCAGTTTCCTTCGCGGTTTTTAACGGCACTAAAAAATCCGCCGGAAAACATAATTGCCACCGGAAAATCGCCCTTTTCGTTGGTAATTGATGACTTTCGTATAGTTTATATATTGTATATTTTGAGGAGAAGTTAGGATGACAGAAATGAGGCAAATTAATTTTGTTTGGGTAAGTGAATTTTTTTATATAATTGCTGAGTGAGTCTCTTTCGGGCATGGGTGAATCCATGGTAAGAGCCTGGTATAGTTTTATATGATATCAATATTTGAATGAAAGAATTATGCCATTATTTCTTTGCATGAGCTGGCTTTGCCATATCGTGGCTCAAGCATTTCAATGGGTGTCAGATGACACAAGTTTCTTACATAAATGTGGGAAAGAATGTTGAAGTATCCAATAGATAATAGACTTAGCAAAAGAATTTGGGCTGAGAATAAGCTAGGGTTTCCTGGCGGCGGCTCTCGTTGCGAAATTTGGTTTTTCTCGGCGAAGGGGGTTTCTCCCCCTTCTCTCCGGCTCGGATGGCTGAAATTAGTGAGGATTTCCCTCCTCTCTCTAAAGGCCCTGTGGTCGGACAACATGCATCAGCTACTTTGGCTCCTTGGACCGACAACTTCACTGCTCCGGAAACTAGATCTGAGGTTTTTCCTATGACCTTTGTTCCTCCTCAACAAAAACTCTCTTTCAAGGCAGATGATCTCTCGGAAGGTATATCTTTATGGAACTTAACTCTTGTTGGTTATTCGATCGGTCAAAGACCATACTATGAGAGACTTCTCGCCTCCATGAAAAAGTTGTGGAAGTTAAAAGGATCTATGTCTCTAATCTCTCTTGCTGAAGGTTTTTTTCTTCTGAAATTTAATAATCTTGACGACTATAACATGATTTGGTCGGGAGGACCTTGGTTTCTTCTAGGTAAACCATTTGTTCTTCAACAATGGTCACCTAAGTTCAAACCTAAGAGAGATGAAAATGCCTCTATTTTGATCTGGATCAAGATTCTGGATCTACCTCTTGCTCTTTGGACTCCTTCGGGAATATCAAAAATTGCTAGCTATATTGGAGTTCCTCTAATTGTTGATAATCTCACTGCTAAACGTACTCGTTTAAGCTTTGCTAGAATATGCGTCCAAATCTCTAAAGACTCCAAACTTCCTGATGAAATTCCTATTGAAATTGAAGGAGAAGAATCTGTTTTAAAAGTAATCTATGATTGGAAACCTACTCCGTGTGAAATTTGCGGATCTTTGATACATCCTTCTAACTGGTGTCCTTCTAAACCTACCCCTAACCATTCTCTTGATTTGGGTAATATTCCCAGGCAAAGAGGAAGAAGTACCAGTAGGAATCAACGATCCAAAAATCGTTCAAATTCCAATCTTCCTCCGATTCTTCCCACACCTCCTAATATTCCTCTCAATCCTATCCCGGATAATGTTCCTTTTACTGAAAATATTACTCCTGCTGCTAATGCAGAAGAAACTGCTGATCATACAATGTTTTGTGATAAAGATAATGAGAATAGAGACACTCATATTCCCAATCTCAATTTTCCTACTGAAGAGTTATCGTCATCTGAACCTAATACAACGGCTATGCTCAAAAATGGATCTGGTATAACTCTTGCTAATAAATTTATTATGCTTGATGAAGAAAATACTAGGATAAATAATCAGGAAATTGAGCTTGATGAAGAAAATACTAGGATAAATAATCAGGAAATTGAGATTGAAGAGGTCTCTTCAATAAATCCTGAAAAGCTCCCGCTGGAAGACATTTTGTCTCATAATAATTCTCCTCCCAAAGTCTCTCCTGTCACTAATAAATCCCTTAAACAACCTCCTTTGCCCCCTCAAAACAATAAGTCTAACAAAGGAAAAGGTGCCAAAAAGGCAAAATCATCCTCTTCAAAATCAAAATGAATACTTCCCCTATTGCGTGTTGGAATGTCAGAGGGTTTAATAGCCCGGGAAAATTCTTAGCTTGCAAACATCTTATCTCTATTAATAATATTAAACTGTTTTGCATTTTGGAGGCAAAAATTAACAATTATTTGCTTAATGATGCTTGGCTTACTAAGTCTCATATGCTTTATGAGAATGAAGGTTCCTGTAACAACTTCAATGTTTCTTCTCCGGGAAGGATTTGGGTCAAATGAGACTCTTCTCATGTTTCCTTTTGTCCTTTGATCACTTCCGATCAAATTATTCACGGTAAAGTTATTTTAAATTCTTCTTCTTCTTTCTTTTTGTCTGTGATTTATGCGGCTAATACTCCCGAAGAAAGAAAAACTCTATGGGATTGTATGAAAGATATTGCTTATAATATGTCTCATCCTTGGATCCTTGTGGGTGATTATAACTGTTGTAGGTATGAGAATGAAAAATTAGGAGGTGTTTCTTTGCAAAGGAATAGATTAGGGGATCTCAATAATACTATTTTTGACTGTGGTCTTATTGACCTTTCTTTTGTGGGTCTTTTCTATACATGGTTCAATCAACAGAAAGGGAACCCGATTCATTGCAAGTTGGATAGAGCTCTGGTAAATTCTGAATGGTTGAATGTTTACCCCAATTCTTATTATACTGTGGATGCTCCCCTTTGCTCTGACCACTCTCCTCTTATTATTCATTGTAATGCTATTCAGATTAAAGCCTCTAGGTTTCTTTTTAAGAATTTTTGGTCTAATATGGAGGGTTTAAGAGAAACGGTGTTGGATGCCTTCCAATCTCATCATTTGAGTAGTCCTATTGCTTCTCTTTATTCTAGTCTTCAATCTTTAAAAAGTATGCTTAAAAGGAAAAATTGGAACTCTTCCAATTTTATTGCCAAAGGTATTGAGGATCTTAAAGCTAAGCAATTGGAATTACTTATTGATATTAATAACAATCCCTTGGACTACTCCATTAGCTCCAGACTTAAAAAGATACTAATGATATGCTTTCTAATTTTCAATCTTTTTGGGCCTCTTGGACTTTGCAGAGGGCTAAGACTAATTGGATTTCTTTCGGTGAGGAAGATCTGGGTTTTCTCTATGCCAAAATTAGGACTAGGAAAAATACTAACAATTTAAAGATGTTATCTACGACGGATGGTAATTTTTATAGTCATCATGACATTGCTAGAACTCTTATTAATCATTTTAGTAATCTCTTTAACACTCCGGCTCCTATTAATGCTAATAATCAAGATAATTTTATTGGGAATACTCTTTCTATTGAAGCTGCTAGATACCTGGATATGCCTTTCTCTAATGAGGACATTAAAGATGTGTTTTTTTCATTTTCTAAAGGTTCTGCCCCGGGGCCTGATGGTTATACTGCTGAATTTTATATTGATAATTGGGACATTGTGGGCTTGAAAGTTTGCAATGCTGTGAAGAATTTCTTTTTTACTGGTCATATGCCTAAAGGGGCTAAAGCTACTGCTATTACTTTAATTCCAAAACATTCTCATGCTAACAATATTTCGGATTATAGACCTATTTCCCTTTGTAATGTTTTTTATAAGGTGGTGGCCAAACTTCTTGCTAATAGGCTTAAAAAGGTTTTACCTTCGATTATTAATGATAGTCAAGCTGGTTTTATTCAAGATAGATGTTCTTCGGATAATATTATTCTTGCTTCCGAGATTCTCAAAGATTTCAATAATTCTAGAAAATATTTTTGTGCCAAGCTTGACATTAGTAAGGCTTTTGATTCTATCTCTAGAAATTTTATTATTAACAGGATGAGAAGCATTGGTTTCCCGGAAAAATTTATTAGATGGATAAAAGGTTGCATCTTTAATGTTTATTTTTCTATTTGTGTTAATGGTTCCCTTGAGGGGTTTTTTAATTCTACTTCTGGTCTCAGGCAGGGCTGTCCCCTTTCTCCTCTTCTTTTTTGCATTGTTATGGATGCTTTTTCTTGTAGGTTGATGGATAAAAATCATTTCCAATTTAAAGGCTATACTTCTAATGGGAATGAGTTTAGTCATTTGCTGTATGCGGATGATGTGTTAGTTTTTGGTAATAACTCCATCATTAATGCTATGAATCTCAATCATATTATGGAGGATTTTGCGGATGCTACTGCTCTTAGATTCAACCCTAACAAAAGTACTATTATTTTTTCTTCTTTGGCTACTCACAAAGAGGAAATTTGCTCAATTTTGGGTATTACTAGTGTTGCTGACAGTCTTACTTATTTGGGTATTCCTATTTCTACCAGTAATTTAAATGCAATGTTTTTCAAACCTCTTTTGGATAAGTTGGTGGGTATGTTAGATGGTTGGAAGGTTAAATTTCTATCTTTAGCTGGGAGATTACAATTTCTTAAATTTTCGATTGCTAATACTTTAGCTTATTGGATTAGAGGTGCTATTATACCTAAGAGCATTTGTAAATTTATTGATAGGATTTGTTCTAAATTTTTGTTCCATGGTAACACCAACAACAAAAAACTGCATCTTATTGCTTGGACCACGGTTTGTAGTCCTAAGCAGGTTGGTGGTTTGGGGCTGCCTTCCATTAATGCTCTGTATCATGGTTTTACTAGTTCCCTTATTTGGAGAATGCTTTCTAAAGATAATGCTTTAGCTCTTTGGTATCGGGGGAAATATGTTTCTCCTTGGAAATCCCCTCCTGCAGGTGCTTCGAAATTTTGGAAGCTTATTTGTTCTGTGGCTGGGAAGATTAAGAACAACATTACGTTATACATTTCTTCTAACAGCAACCTTTCTTTTTATTGGGACCCCTGGTGTAATGGTAAAGCTATTGCTGATCTTATTAATCCAGATCATGAAATTTATGTGACGGTCAGGAATTTTATTCATCAGAATAAATGGAATTTCCCGATGAATGTGCCTAGAATTGTTTTAGATGAAATTAAAAATATTGAGATTGGTAAGCAACCGTCTTTGTACTGGGATGGCTTTCCAAATCCGACTCACAGGAATTTTTTAGAAAATTTTTATAAAGACTTGCCGGAGGTCTCTTGGCATAAATATATCTGGTATAGGAAAAATGCTATTCGTTTTTCTGTCTACACTTGGATGGCTATTATGGGGAAACTTAAAACTGCCGACATTCTTATTAAGAGGAATATTAATTCTCCTCCTTTATGCAACTTTTGTAATAATGAGCATGAGTGTCATAATCATCTATTCTTTGATTGTGATTTTTCTTTTTCTGTTATTAAGAGGCTTTTTCCTTTTCTGGATAATTTTCACTTACGACCAACACTTTTACAGCTTATGGATCATCTGGATATTTATCAAGGTTTTTCTAACAAGGAAAAAAATTTTAGTTTTTTAGTTGTTTCTACTATTGTTTACTACATTTGGATGGAAAGGAACAATAGGAGGTTTTCTGGTTCCTGGGTTTCTCCATTGACTTTGGGCTTCAATATTAGAAAAGCTATTAAGGTGAAGGTTAATAAATGGAATAATTATGAGGAACTCAAAATTATGTTTCCTGATATTCTAACTTGATTCTATTGTTTGGCTTTGCTAAGGGATTATGTTTCCTTTGACCTTTTTGAGTTATTCTTACTTAGTTTTTTTTATTTCTGTTTTTTTACGAGGTATTATTTGGTTGGACAAAAGCTGATTGGTTATTTGGTGATGCTGATCTTGGTATTGGCTGAATGAAGCTGGTGCCAAGGACTTTTGGATGAGCTTAGCTTATCTTTTTATTTGACCGGTTTTTATATCTGTTCAAGTGCTTTGATTATTGAGCTGTCCCTTGCGTCGTCTGTTGGATGGGGCCTCTTCTGGAAGGGGCTGAGTTGATCTTGTCATTTCCCTTAATTACTGTTAAAAATTTATGTTCTAGTCATGTTCTGTTCAAGACTAGTTTAAGTTGGTTGTAAGTCTGTGTTGCCTCATTTCTTTTTTCCGAAAAGAATGATGGCTATTTTTTTGTTTTGTTTTGTTTTTAGACTTTTTCTTGTATCAAACTTTATATTTTTCTTTTTTATAAAAAGGGCTGTGCCCCAAAATTTCCCTAAAAAAAAAATCCAATAGATAATATATTTACTTTCTAAGAAGTAAGAACTATTTATCGCTAATCAATCGCTTAATTTAGTTGTACTTTCCATCTTCTAATCTTACTTCTCTCTCTCACGCACACTAATCATTCTATTTAATTTTATAAAGAGCACATTTTGTTGTCTTAAAACACTGCAGGGTAAAAGACGGTTACCAATGAAATTTTTTAATTCCGGCGGAATTTTCAACGGATTTTTCTTTGTCGAAAATTTTACTTAATTTCTGATGGAAAAATCTTTGGATCATATTGATCAATCATTTATGTTTGGATATTTTATAGATTTGATCATTTTGAATGATTTGATATAATTTTATTGCATTTTAAATAAAGTATTGAAATATCAAATACATGATATGATAAGTCTATATGATACTCTACCAATTCATGTAATTCACTAATTGGGAGTTATAAAAAGCTGGAGATTGATTGAGAGTCACATAATTCAAGGAGAGTTATAAGGAGTACATGGATTGAGATTTATAAGGGGCGAGTGATTATGAGTCATCAGTGTAGGAGCAAGATATCCTTAAGATACACTCGTTAAATATCTGAATACTAGTATCGACATTATTGCTAGCATTAAATTGATATTGTGACTTACACTAATACTATTTATTGTCATAAATACTTTTTTTAATGTTATTAACCATGATATTAATACTTGGTATGTAAAATTGTATTTCTATTAAGCTATTAAGTGGTATTTGTTTTCATTAGAATAGATGGCCATGAGTTTTTTTAAGTTTTTGCTACAAGTTTTCAACTTATTTCCAATGGATATTCTGTCGGTAAGCTTCGATATAGAAAGAACGCCTACTGAAAATTTCCAACGAATTTTTCGACTCACTTGTGTAATTTTCGACGAATGTTTATTCGTTAGTTAAAATATCAAATTTCCATCAGTAATCCGTAAAAAAATGTTTTTT